CAGTGAGCATCTTTATAACTATTGCTTTGAACTATCAGGTAAGTTGGTTGACTCCATTTCATTTAGGTTTTTTCCTGAAGTTTTGTCTTGTTCTGTTATTTGGAGCATATTCATTTGTTTCCTCATTTTGTTTGGCTTAACTGTGCTTGATTCTGTGAATTGGTCAAATAGGCTGCCTTTCCCAGTCTTGAAGGATTGGCCCTGTATAGGAAGGGCTCCTTTGTAGACTGTCTATGCCTGGTGGTTTGGGATGGTTGGAGGCCAAGTGGGTGAGAAATGTGTGTGTTCTGGTGCCAGGGCATGGACTGGTGGTCTCCTGTGTGATTGCCAGCTGGGGCCATCCTGTTGGGCCAATGACAAAGGCAAACAGTCGGGGGGGCTCCCAGGTGCACCGTGGGCTCAGCACTCTCTGAGTGTCTTCCAGTTTGGCACCTGACTGAGGCTGACGGGGTGCAAATGGGGTGCCTGGGGACAAAAGGGACATGGGAAGAGTGAATCCACATGAACATTATGCTAGTACCACCTTAGTGAGACAGGATTTCTGACAAGTGTGTTTGGGTATGGCAGGGGCAGGAGGCCCTTCTGGAGCTACTCTGTGCACTCTGACCCTGCTTTTGTCCACACCATCAATGTGGTCAGGTTAAAACCCTCCTACTTTGAGGCTTTTATTTTGTGCCCCTAGCCAGGTGAGTCTGCACTCACTCCAGTAGCTCAGTGATGTCCCCTCCTACTGCATGGCCTTGCTGGGGCTGGGGCTCCCTCTACTACCCTGCCTCCTTTTCTCCTGCTGTTTTTACAAGTCTTTTTTATCTCTCATTGTGCAGAAGCTGTTCCCTCAGGTGTCTGTTTTCCCAGTGGATGAAGTGTTCTGCGTAGGTGTAGATTTGGTGTGTACGTGGGAGGAGGTGGTCTCAAGCTCCCTCAGTTACACTAGTCACATTTCAGATGTTTGATATTCACATGTGCCTAAGTGACTACCATATTGGATAGTACAGATACAGAACATTTCATCATTACTTTCTAGAAAGCTGTTAGTGCTGAAAAGCATTGGGTGGAGGCAGTCATGTATGTTTCAGTCTCAGGTTAAAGTTGGCAGACCAGATCATTTTTCTCCTTTGAGAGAGATCTTGGGATTTAGATTATCAAGTTTTGAAAGTAGGGATGGGAAGACACCAGACTTTAGGACCCTGAGTAATGAGCATTTGTGAGGTTTGATCAGTGATAATAAAGGAGAGGAACTACCTACTACTAGCTAAAACAAATTCTAGTGTCATCTTCCTTTTCTACCTGCCAGAACTCAATATGCACAAAATCACAAGTACCGTCAGGACGTCTGAATGATTACTTTTATCCTTTCAAAAATGTAAATTAATCCCATCAGAAGCTCTCCCCATTAATTAGTTAAGTGATTGACTTCAGCTAGGGTCTGAAAGGTAAGGGGACCTCTCATTTATTTTCTGTGAATGTAATGATAACTCTAGAGCCAGACTTAAGATTTGTGAATTCTATTTTTAACTTTTTAATTTCTGTATCCCCATAGATACTGTACATTTGGTACAGTAAGGAAGTTAAAGGCTTTCTTAAGGGAAAGCACCTTTTGGGGTACTGTCAAGGAGAAACAGCCAGATATTTGTTAAAGGTAGCAAGACATTTTATTCAGACTAATGCAGTAGAGAAGGGAGACTGCAGCATAAATCGAGCTCTGCTATGGGTGGGAGCCTTTTAAACTGCTGGGGTGTGCTAAAGAAAAAGTGCTGAAGATGTTAGTCGGGGAGGTTGGTCAGGTTCATTAAGTCATCTGTGTTTGCTAATTGGCGCTTATCAAAGTTAGGGTCCTAGCCTCCCTGGTGATTCCATTTCAAAAGAATGGTTCCCAAGTCCTTGAGAAAGACATTTCTGGGTGTAGATTTACATCTCGGGTCAGAGAAAGGATTTATTTATAACTGCAAGTTTTCTAAAGTAAATCCTTTAAGAAAAGTAAGGTCAGGGGCCTATACTCAGGTTTTGACTGAACAGGATACTAATTCTTCGGCAGCATTTAAGGAGGCTGGGGTCATCCTAAGGCACATGGCCTTCCACAGAGCAACTGTGATAGAATTTGGTTTTGTGTGTGGGCCAGGGGAGGTTGGATGGAGTGGTTTGCATTGGCAGTTCCTAGTACCTGGATAAAATTTTTTATCTAAAATTTCATGACCAAGGGATGACAAAACTGGAATTTTTATCACAGAATCTTCAGTGAAAGAGAATAAGGCATTGTTTTGGGGGTCCTATGCAAACAAAGAAAAGAGGGAAGCATTGGGAAAATGACTTGCAGTACCTTAGAAGCAGCCTTGGATTTTATTTTGCAACTTAAGTCCAAGAAGAATGGTGTGACCCAGAGTGGGCCAGAGGATGATGAGAGATTTCTATCTGACAAAGCTTCTTGGAAGAAGTAGAACCTGAGCTGAGCCTTGACGGCTGATGGGCAGGCTTTTCTTGGTTTAGCACTTTATTTTGGTATTTCCATGAAACCCATCTAATTTCCACAGAAATAAATTATAATTTCACGATTCAATTTTTTATTTGTAATTACTGATTTTTCCTTAAAGTCATTGCCCAAAATTGGTATATTTTCTCCCTCTTGACTTGATTTTTCTCCTTTTCTCCTTTTCAATTCTTGGTTTTCAACCAGATCTCTTCAGTAACACGTTCTAAAGAGGCTCCCCTTTTTTTATATAACTTCTCTGCCCAAAATACCTTTTGACCCCCTCCTCATACACACCTTCAAAGAATTGTTTATCCTTCAAGACCCAGCTGAAGTAGCACTTGCTTTGCTCCCACAGTACAGTACTTTCTATGAAACCCCTAGTGTGGCCCATAGAAATACCTCTAACATTTGGTTAATGGATGTGGTTAAATACAATACTCTCTGAAATGTGTTTTCCAGTGTAGATCTCAGCTGTCCTATGTGTATAGGTATAGCTATTCAAAGAATTAGTGGTTGAGAGAGGAGATTTTTATATCTGAGTCTTCAGACACATTGAAGTTTCTGTAGTTATGCTATTATAAACCAGCAGAACAATTAAAGCAAACAGAAGACAATTTGGGGGAAGGTTATGGCTTAGAATTTAAGGACGTTAAAGGCTTTCTTAAGGGAGAGCACCTTTTTATCCCAGTGGTATCCTTCACGAAAAAGAGAATTCTGAAGGGTGATAATGTGAGCATCTTAGCAAAGTAAGAAAATACCTAACAACGCTTTATGGAGGTCAGATAAAAGAGAATTTTCTCATGGAAGAGGATGTTTTTATTTATATCTATCATCAACCTTCATATTAACACCTGATAACAGTAGGAAGGAAGGAGCTACCCTGGGTTCCTTTTTTTACTACTCTTTCTCATTTTATCTTCTGGCCCCTGAGAGTGTCAGGATGCCTTTGGTCCTCTCTCATTTTTAGAAGTGATAATTCTGGAACAAAAGCTGTATACCTCATTTTTTCCTCCTGGATATGTAGTGTTTCGCAGTGTTATCAGCTCTAGGACTACATCTTTCTGTGATTTTCCTATATGAAAGGTCGCTGCTGTGTGGTTTTTTGAGTTTAATATGAAGATTTACTTTTATTTGCTAATGTCATGAAAGAGAAATAGTTAATCTTAATTATGAGTAATCTCTTAGTTTTAGAAATTTTCTTATTTGCCTTTAGTGTGAGGCTTTGGGATGAATTGAGGAACAAGCAGTGAAAATAGTTAAAGGTGTCAATTAGAAATGGCATATCTATAATACTTGAGGAAACATGGAAGTGACATACTTATTAGTGTTATTTCCTAGTTATAAGCTGTGAATTTTTTCTTATTTGAAGATTGAACATAGATACAAATAAATAGTTATACAATAGAATTTGTTTTTTAAGGAGATTATAGGATATAAAACAAACTCTGAAAATTTAAAATCTAAGTCTAAATAGAGGAAGGCTTTTCTGTGCATAGTAAGTAATGTAGAGAATTGATTTGTTACATCCTTTCTTGAAGGCTGTTTGGGATATTTGGAGATATTTTTAAGTGAAGATGAAGTCTGGCATCATAATAGAACAATGGACAAATGTTGGGAAATTTAATACATTTTAAAAATTGAAAATAACTTGTTTTCTCAGTTATAATAAACCTTGCATATTGTGTTGACATATTTTTAAAGGGTTTATTATTAATAAGTTAACATTTAATGTGTGCTTGGCCATATCCATGCACTAAATGCTTTACACATATTAATTCATTTAATGGTGAAGGTGAGGTAAAGCTAATTATGTTATACCTGTCCTTGCCAAATCTAATGGTTTGTTCTTGGCCTCACCTGTTAGCAGCACTCGTCACAGTTGATTATTCTTTTCTCCTCAAAATGCTGTCTTCACTGGTTTTCCAGGCCACCTCACTCATTTGTTACCCTCCTGCCTCAGTGGTGGCTTGGTCTTGGTCTCATTTGTTGGTTCCTCCCCTCCTTCCCAACCCCTTAATGTTAGTGTCCTTGGTTCCCTTCTCTGTGTCCCAATTGAGCTCATCTAGTCTTATGGTTTTAAAGGCTATCTAAAGAATCTGAAGTTTCTGTGTCTGGGCCAGACCTCTTCCCTGACTCCCAGGCTTGTATATTCAGCAGTGTCCTCAATGTCATCATCTAGTAGTATTTCAAAGTTACCAAGTCTGAAACCCAAACCAGATAGCATTAATGATTTAAAAAACTTTTGAGTAATGTGAGTCATACAAAAATAGGGTGGAGCTCAGAGACTGGATTTTACAACTCCAGTGAAATAATATTGCTTTATTTTGGGGATAGACTTCTTAGTTTGAACCTGCTGTATTGTGTGTTACTAAAATAAACTTTGTCCTTTTCTTCCTTTCTTTTAGACCTTAGAGTTAATGATAAATGAATTTGGTGGCAGAAGACAGATCATCTTTTTCTGAAAGTAGAAATTCAGTTCAATTTGTTTTCCATCTGATTGTTCATCATCATAAAAACCAGTTCTGTTTTTCAGGTATCATCTTTATCAGAAAGTGAAGAGTCTCAGGACTCATCTGACAGTATAGGCTCCTCCCAGAAAGCCCACGGGATCCTAGCACGGCGTCCATCTTACAGGTAAGTGCTCTTGTATCAAACCTTGCATGTATTTGTATGGAAAAAGAAGTGTTGAGAGAGAAATTCAAGCCAGATTAGGAAGGGCCCAAATTGGTATGCTGGGAGAAATTTAGATTTTCTTCTGGCAAAGTATTTGATTTCCACATTTACTTTTTGATAGTTAACTTTAATACCAGTAGGAAAAAAGACTGTAGATTTTAGGAATTGAGCTACTTTGTGTTTCTTTTCTTAGCTTCCTAACTCTGGGCCCTGTGTGTCCCTTTACTGAAACACATTCTGCATGTTTTTTTAGGCCCCATTTCCTCCTGGAAGCTTTCTCGGATTACATTCTCTCCAGCTCCCCCAGACCAGGTTAGGTCTTCCTGGTGTAGCATCCTTTTACTGACCCCTGTTAACACTACTTATCTCATCCTGTTGGAATTCTAGTTTATTTAAGAGCATAGCCCATGTATTGTTATATTTTGTGATCTCAAGGACTAGCAAAGTGACCATACAAGAGTAAATACTTAATAATTGGTGAATGAAGAACTGGAAGTAATATAACTAGTTGACAGAAGCTGTTGAAATAACCTGGGGGATTGCATATGGGTAGTGAGAGATCCTTGGAGTGTGTGGATTTGAGATACCGCTATGGTAGAAGTGACCAAGCCTGGTGACTAGATGGTAGGAGGAAAGGAGGAGAGAAAAGGATAAAATGCTGTCTTTGGAATGTATAAATAAATGCAATAAGATTTCAGATGTTATGAAAGAACATTCCTGCTTGGTGGAATGAGCAAGGAAAGACTTCATAAGAGAGATGATTTGGATCACCACCAATCTGATATCAAAGATAGATTATATGATAATGAAGAGGTTGGCCTGTGGCCTGTAATGGAATTGGGAACTTAAGGTGCAGGGAGGAAGAAGAGGTTCTGTAAGAAAAGGTAGGCAGGAGTGAGATTACTTAGAACCATGTTAACAAACAGACAAAATTTTGTCCAGAGTTTTTTGGGGATGAAAAATAAACCCTACTAAAATGAGCTCATAATCCATTATTGGCAAGCATATACAATAAATGGAATCAAACCTCTGAAGAACTTCAGATAATTATTAAAGTCATAAAACCCTAATAATACTACAGTAAAAGACTGTGAGGGATGTAAAAAATAAGTACAACTTGCCATCCTGCCTAAAGCAATCTACAGATTCAGTGCAATCCCTATCAAAATATCAGCAACATTCTTCAGCAAACTAGAGCAAATAGATCTAAAATTCATATGGAACCACAAAAGACCCCAAATAGCCAAAGCAATCCTGAGAAGGAAGAATAAAGCTGGGGGGATTATGCTCCACAACTTCAAGCTCTACTACAAAGCCACAGTAATCAAAACAATTTTGTACTGGCACAAGTACAGACTCATAGATCAATGGAATAGAATTGAGAGCCCAGATATAAACCCAAAATATATGGTCAATTAATATACGGTAAAGGAGCCATGGACATACAATGGGAAATGACAGCCTCTTCAACAGCTGGTGTTGGCAAAACTGAACAGCTACATGTAAGAGAATGAAACTAGATCACTGTCTAATGCCACACACAAAAGTAAATTCAAAATGGATCAAAGACCTGAATGGAAGTCATGAAACCATAAAACTCTTAGGAAAAAACATAGGAAAAAATCTCTTGGACATAAACATGAGCAACTTCTTCATGAACATATCTCCCTAGGCAAGGGAAACAAAAGCAAAAATGAACAAGTGGGACTATATCAAGCTGAAAAGCTTCTTCTGTACAGCAAAGGACACCATCAATAGAACACAAAGACATCCTAC